CCCCGCAAAGAAATGGTAAAATTAGCGTAAATTAAGCCCTTCGGCCTCATTTTAAAATTTGCTCTCCACCGGTCGAAATCACTTTTCGTGGCAAGGTCGGATCCGGCAATATGTAGCAACACCGGATTCCCTCCATTAAAACCTATATAAAATGATCGATTCCTGCCGGAATCCAGGCCCCTCCAAGAATCGATACATTTAAATGGTTTTTAAAGGAGAAAAATAATTTTGCCAATTTGCTAGATCCGCCAATGTTTCACAAAAGCACTGTTTCGGCTCGAGCAAAATTGTGGAAAGCCGAGAACTTTAATGACTCCTTGCACTATGAGGGGCTGAAATTATAGCCTGGAATTATACTTATGGATGTAATCTGTTCCAGTTCAGAGTCACAGCCATCTCCGAATATACCGAAACCCGACAACGACGTACATTCGTCGGCGACATCGGAATTCTGAGCGGCGCTTATCAAAAAGCAAACACGGCGCGACTCTCCAGCTCGGGAAAAAATTCGCGATTACGGTTTTTTTCCTATTTATTTTGTAAATCACGCGCTGAACAATTCTCATTAGTGTTTTCGATGATCGAGCTCTCAGGCTTCATAGCTATCGCATGCCGTATACGTCACGGAATTAAATATTATGACATCAGGTTTTAATTATCGCGGTTGAAAATTTTCTTGAGGCTCACCAGACACGCTCGATCCAGCGAGGACCCCCCTCTGAAAAATATCGCGTAATATTTGAATATGCATACTTTGTTACTTCTGTACTAGAATCTTTAGAATTCTCAAAAATACAGTACTTAAAACAGTTTGGCGCAGAAAATTCTCGACCTTCCCATTTCGAAACCCCGTTTTTCTCCGAAAATTTCGATAAGATTACTTTTTCATGGCTCTGTGCGTGTGAATTGCCGCGGTTTTGTGCAGAGCACGTGATTGACACCGCGATTTGACGGAAAAAACATGATTTTTACCCCAGTTCTGCGAACAAATAATCGCGATTTTGCCAGCTTTCTCATTTTAAAACACCGTTTTCGGGGCCTCCCCATTTCCGCACGCGACCGATCGCGATCCGCCCGGCTGCGCGGTCGAGAAGTTTTTGCACCACTGCGGTTTGCGGCCCAACGAGGCCTAGACTACCGTGCTAAGGAATAACACCATATGAGCTTTCAGGCGTTGCCAAATCTCCACAGTAAAATTACGAATTTCCGGGGAAAATTGCAAATATTCTTCTTTCGATTTTTCAGAGGATTTTCATTGTAATTCAACGTAAAGAGTCCGAAAATTTCAAGGTAAAATACTCACGACGATCTTCAAAAATTAATATTTTCTTGGAGGCAATTTGGCAATATTCAAATGTTCATACGCCGTTTTCCCTTAGCACGGCGGCAGAATACAGGAGCCGATCGGAAATGGATCCCACGTGACTTGGTTCTCTCTGTAGGTTAAGTGGGGAACGCCGCGACCTACAACGGCAGAAGCTCCACATGTGTGGAAACCCCCGACCCTCGATCGACGGGCTCCCCTCAGGTCTCCGGCGGAACCCGGAAGAGGAAGCGCTCGCATCTGTCACCGAGAGGAAATCAGGGAAGGCAGCCGGGTTTCCGCCGTAAGTGCATTTCCGCATGAGCCGCGGTTCGCCCACGCTCTTATGTCTCCCGCGGCTCATCCCAGAATTCACTTACGGCTCTTTTCCTTAACCCGGCAGAAGTCTGCTCGGGGTCTACGGCCGGGCCGGGAGTCGCGCATCGGGCCCGGCCCCGCCGAGGAGCAACACTCAACACTCAACAGCGGCCCGGGGCCCGGCCGGGGGTCAACGACCCGCGGGCCCGCGGCCTTGAGCCGTGAGCGCCGTGCGGTGGCGATGCCGGTGGTGGCAGGTAAATCGCCGTCGCTGTTGCGCCCCGCCGCCGCCGCCAGCGCTAGCGTCGCCCACCNGTGTCGGAGACGGCGGTATTTTTAGGTTATCCTGTGAAAAATCACTGCTACTTTTCACTGTGATTTTTGAGTAGCAGTAACAGTAATCACGTTCCCGAAAAGTAGCCGTTAAGCACAAGCCTATGCACCACTGCGGTTTGCGGACCAACGAGGCCTAGATTACCGTGCTGAGGAAGAGCGCCGTATGAACCTTCAGGCGTTGCCAAATCTCCACAGAAAAATCACTGCATTTCCGGGGAAAATTGCAAATATTTTTCTTTCGATTTTTCAGAGAATTTAGATTGAAATTCGACGTGGAGAGTCCGAAAATTTCAAGGTAAACTACTCATGACGATCTTGAAAAATAAATATTTCCTTGGAGGCAATTTGGCAATGTTCAAATGTTCATACGCCGTTTTCCCTTCGCACGGCAGTAGAATAGTGCCATGCTAAGGAAGAACGCCGTATGAACATTCGAGAGTTGCCAAATTTCCCTTGATAAAATATGTATTTTGCCCAACATTCATGCATATTTTTCCTCGAAATTTTCAGATATTTTAGACTAAATTCCGTAGAAAAATGTCTGAACATTTTGGGAAGTAATATTCGCGATTTTCCTAGTAAATTAGTATTTTATCGGAGGAAACTTGGCAACGTCTGAAGGCTCATACGGCGTTCTTCCTTAGCATGGCAGAATATGGGAGCCGATCGGAAATGGATCCCACGTGTATCGTTCTCTCTGTAGGTTAAGTGGGGAATGCCGCGACCTACAACGGCAGAAGCTCCACATGTGTGGAAACCCCCGACCCTCGATCGACGGGCTCCCCTCCGGTCTCCGGTGGAACCCGGAAGAGGAAGCGCTCGCATCTGTCACCGAGAGGAAATCAGGGAAGGCAGCCGGGTTTCCGCCGTAAGTGCATTTCCGCATGAGCCGCGGTTCGCCCACGCTCTTATGTCTCCCGCGGCTCATCCCAGAATTCACTTACGGCTCTTTTCCTTAACCCGGCAGAAGTCTGCTCGGGGTCTACGGCCGGGCCGGGAGTCGCGCATCGGGCCCGGCCCCGCCGAGGAGCAACACTCAACACTCAACAGCGGCCCGGGGCCCGGCCGGGGGTCAACGACCCGCGGGCCCGCGGCCTTGAGCCGTGAGCGCCGTGCGGTGGCGATGCCGGTGGTGGCAGGTAAATCGCCGTCGCTGTTGCGCCCCACCGCCGCCGCCAGCGCTAGCGTCGCCCACCATCCTCCGCGGGAATGCAACGGCCCCAACGGTGAGTCACCCCGGGTTCCTGGAAAAGTGGAAAACTCGCGTGGGGGGCTCCATGACGTCGCGAACAACCAAGGCTGGATCCAGGGCCGGTACCAGAGTCCCTGTTCATAAAGATTATTACATGAGGAATCATTTCTGATTGGTCCTCGCATTTAAGGCCTCCAGTGCCTCGGTAGCGTCACAAAACGGGAGGAAGATTAAATTCTTTTTTTTACAACTGGCAAATATTTTAAACTGGTTTGGAATAACTAAACTAAATTTGGTAACTCTCAAAATTTCAAATGGCGTTTTCCCGTAGCATGGCAGAATAGGGTCTGTCCTAAAACGATGAAAATCTAAAAATTCCACTTTTTTACCAAGACCCTTCAGGTCCACGATTCTGCTAACATTCTGGAATTGATAAGACACTACGCCGCCCTTCTGACAAAATGGCGCAACCACACTTGGCGATGAACCCTGTTGACCATATACCTCAATGCTTTCCCGAGCTTATCTCAAATTGTAGTCACGGGCTATATGGATATACCATCCGTTCCGGGTTCAGTGGCCGAAAGTTCCGGGTGCTTGAGCCGTAACTTAGATTGCTTCGGATGCTACGCCCGGAACGTGGACGGCATGTCCATATAACCCGTAAGTACACCTTCCACGGCCGGAGTTTTTCTTCGGTGTAGTTACGCCTTTTTGTGAGCCAAGCGACGAATAGACATGTTCGTCGTTTCGACACTGATAGATTCTCACGGGCACGTTTTTTAAGCGATGGCGAGCTGAGCTGGGTTGCATGAGCACACGCACGCTTCGAGCAGACGGGACGGGAACACGATGACGTCACATAACTGCGTCGGATTCCTCCCTCAACGGACGGCGCGGTGTCGGGACTCGTTCGACTTATCATCGCTCGCAATGAACCAGGTCAATAGAATGTATCGGCGCTCTCCGCCAAGGTCGCATCGGCATGTCTAACGTGATCGGAGCACGGTGAAAAAAAGAAAAACTTTTCCGTGCACGTTAACTCTGATCGAATAGCGAACTTCGGAAGTCTGATGGAGTCATCTATTCTGCCGCCATAGGATCTAGCCATAGCCAACAGTAGATATGGCTGATATGTATATGAGAATGAGTCGATGCTCCTTTTTTTTTTTTTTTTTTTTTTTTTTTTTTTTTTTTTTTNTTTTTTTTTTTTAATGTTCAATAGGGATATGCAGGGTGATCCAACAGTCCCGCACAACCCTATAACCCTTAGAGTATGTGCCCCTTTTCAGGAGGATCCCCTTACAGTTTTGGCGAACTTTATAAAAATGCAGGGTGTCAACTAAAACAGGCTGGCCAAAAATCAGTACTTTTACAGTACTTTTCCAGTACGTTCCCGAGAAATTCAGTACCTCCGCAACATAAATATTCAGTACTTTTTCAGTGCCTCCAATAGACGAAATTCAAATATTTCAAAAATTTGAATTTCCCTCTCAAATTGCGACAAAAATGGCAAAAAAACTAAAAATATTCCGGACTTCCTTGCGGAATTTCCGTACTTTTTCAGTACTTCCAGACCGCCTTTGAAAAATCAGTACTATTTCCGGATTTTCTGGAGATTCCGGAATGTAGACACCCCGAAAACTTCGTTCTTTTAACCTAGATGCACCTACAACATTTCAAGTTTCCGACCCAATCTGTTTTAAAGTAAGAAAGAGTGCTGTCGCTGGTGGTGCGGAACCTTTGGATCACCCTGTGCATTAGAACTATAACTATATATATAGTATAATAGTATAGTATAGTATAATATAGTATATATAACTATATAGTATATTAACGTGGATAACTTACCCTGACGGGGTCGCCGAACAGAGGGGCTTCGGCCTCCCGCTCGGCCTGCGAGGACATTTGGGCCCTGGCCTGGCGGTCCCTCTCCCTGAGTCTGTCCCGCTCAACGCTGCAACAAATCGTAAGCAAACAATTAGTAAAAGATCTCCAAAAATATGCAGACAGAAGAACAATAGGTAATCAAAAGTCGAGAGGTGGTAACAACAAATTGTGCCACTTGTAATCCGTGCGTGGCCACTCACTGCTGCGCTGAGGAAAAACGGCGTATGATCATTTAGGTGTTGCCAAATTTCTGCTGATAAAACCAAATTTTCGTAAAAATTTACGTTGGCTCTTTATTCAATTTTTCATAAAATTTTACTCGCGTTTAAATCTGATGTACCTGTAAATTTCACAGAAAAATTTCCCTGAGTTTCATCTCAAATATTTGTAAGTGACCTTCTCTTTATGAACATTCAAAGGGTAAATAAAATAAACCAATTATTTTTATCAATTATTCAAATATTTTGTCAGGGAAAGTTTGGCAACATCCGAATAGAGCCTACACATGGCTGGGTATTATTAATGCTTCTCATTAATCTCACAGCCCGCGGCGCACGGTGGAGGCTGAAAATGGAAAAGGTAAACCGTATCGTAAAAACTTAAAATTTCATGAATACAAGACGTAAAGGTTTAAAAGCAGTTACATTGCTTTTCTCGTAAAATTTCCTTATAGATGCCAACCAAACTCTACAACTGTGTTTTCCACTGTGCGTTGCGCGGCGGGGATACGTCGAGGGTTCCACTAACTTTGGCACTTTCTCAGAAACTTCATGCAGCGCCCGAAAAAGAGCTACGGATTACCGCGAAAAAGCCGAGCTGCGTACATAATTTCACGTGTTTGAAAATTTTTTCGTGAGTAACACAGCCGGTGATAGGAGAGATGTGTTGGGGCCTCTTTTTTACTTTTCTCCCGAATCTGAGCGACACCTTAATGGCAGCATTCAGTGGAGCATTGAGAGCTCACGCTTCGCGTCATCGCGCCTTCACTTTTTCAAATGCAGTACGGACGTCCATCAAGTACGAATAGTTGTATCTCTGCGCCGTCGTAAACGCTCATCCTCTCCCTCACTTAATTTCCATATTGTGATTGTTTGCGTTTGTCTTATTCGTAATGGTGCTTCAAACTAGTAGTATAGAGCAGAGCATTGCGAGTTCACGACTCACGCCATCGCGTCTTACATATCAATGCCCGATTTCTACTCAAAATTTAACGGATTTTTGTGAGTAACCCGAAGGAAAATCAGTGAAATTTTCCGTTCGGAGTACCAGTACCCATCCATCCAACTTACACTCGAGAAAATCCAAATTGCGAATAGATATTTTCCGACACTGAAAAGCAGTTACGTTCTTAAACAGGCGGTTTCTCCCTTTCTTCCGTGTTTCCCAGTCACTCCGGACGCCCGATAAAACGCTAAAGGGATATTGAACGGATTGTTTGGCGCGCTTTCTGAAGAGGCGTTTAGCTGAAAAACTAGATCAACATCGGCCCTTTGTTTCGGGCGATTTCCGCAATGGTTATGAATAACGAGCGCAGCGCTGCATGCAAGCCCTGTCACAACTCGCCGGGGTAAAAGCTATGCCAAACGAAGAGCTGAGAGTAATAGCAGCTTAGCACGGAGCACCAGGCAGTCGCCAACTGTAAATTTCCACGAATTCCCGCTTCCACTGAGTGAAAGCAAAGGTAGTTCTGACCTTGAATTGAATTTTTTCATTTTTTTGTCACTGTAGTCAAGCGGCGAGGTTCGATTAGCCGGGAATTTTTTTCGCAGGAGCTTTGCGGTTTATTGCCTTCATTAGGGTGTGACAAGTTCTCTTGGATTTCAAAATCATTGGCTTATTTTTAGGGATGTTGCCGATAAAGTTCCCTAAATTTTTCATTGTTTTCTTTTTTTCGAATGATTTCTTATAAAATGTATTCTCAAGAATATTTTCGAACGTTATTTTCTTGATATTGCAAAAAAAGCAATGATTTGGCCGGAAGAACAATTTTAAAAGTTTTGCAGGGAAATTCCTCTATTTTTAGGGTTGGGCTATATTGACCAACTCTAAGGGTTCTTCCTGACTTTTAAGAACTTGCCACCCTACTTCATGGAAGATACGTCACGTAAAAGGAAATACTTATTTTCATGAGAACTACTGCGTATCATTTCGCATAATTTCGAGAAAGAAAAAAAAGGGGAGGAAGGGGTGGAAAAAGAGAGAGAAATATCATCTTTAAAGATGACTACAATTAAAGAGCATTTTGAATAAGTGACGATTTTTTATTTTGCAAACTTATAGGGCCAAAAGTAATTGTGTGACTAGTTCTATGCTATGGAAAAAAAGTAGTTAAAAAATGAGTTTTAAAAAAATGACAACTTCGTAAGTTTGAAATGTATCGTTGATCTGCTGCCGAGCTTCACAGAATCAAAAAAGAAAAAACGCAAAAAAGTAGACGCCGAGTCCTCAAACACAGCTCCGATTTGCGACGAGTGGAAAAAAATGTGTCAGAACTACCACTTTTCGATCGTTATAACATGTCATCCTGTGCGAATTGCCATACTCGCCGTAAGATCATTCCAACGTTGCCACAAGTTCTCCGAGGAAAAATGATTTTTGATAAAACATGTTGCTTTGGTTTGTTTTTGAGGAAGTGGAGGGGAAACACGATTGGTCGTAAAACTATGAAAATACATCGTAATAACGCATTTGAGCAGAGTTCTCGTTGCGATATGCAAATATAACAACATTTCAAGTCATTTTGTATCTACGCTTACTAACAGCGTCCGCCAATTTTGGGTCCTAAGAACTCCAAAAAGCTCCACACTGAGAAAAAACTATGGTTTATAAACCTATTAGAGGTAAATATGGAACACCTATAATAGTCGTAAATAAACTAATGATTCTCGGTCTGTGAACCATACTAAGGTCTCTGTACCTAATTAAGGTACCCCGTACCATAACTAAGGTATATGTGCTCTACTATTAGTGGTGTTCCATATTTACCTCTAATAGGTTTATAAGCCATAGTTTTTTCTCAGTGCAGATGGAGAAGCCAATCAAAAGCGATACTCTCGCGATAAAGCTACTCCAGTAAGCCATATGAGCCGAAGTTGGGTAATTTTGCCTCGAAAAAGGCGCGCTTTTATACTCGAAGTTTCTTCTTCAGTGTAGTAAATTGCGCAACCATGCTGCCATGCAAAGGAAAAACACCGTATGAACATTCGAAGATTGCCAAATTTCCCGTTAGAAAATATTTATTTTTGAAGAAAGTTATGAAAATTTTCCCTTGAAATTTCCAGTAACTTTAGATCAAATTACAGACGAAATTCTGTGAGAAAAGGAGGAAGAATATTTCCAAGTTTCACCGCCAATTCGAGATTTGTCAGAGGAAATTTGGCAACGTCAGAAGGCACATACGGCGTTCTTCCTCAGGACGGCTAGAGTGCCTTTATACTGAGAGTCAAGACAATTTGAATCCATTTCTGATTGGTTCCCGTATTTTAGGCCTTCACAGTGTCACAAACGGGAATAAAGATTACAGTTTCACCGATTGCAAAGATTATAATTTGGAATGGACCGGGGAATTACGGGTTCGGCAAGGAACAAACGGAATGAGGGAAGGAACGAAGAAAGGAATTCGAGAATGGGCCGATCAAAGATTACGAAAAACGTTCAATTTCTGTAATCTTTATTCCCGTTTGTGACATCCATGAGCCGAATTGTCTTGACTCTCAGTATAAAGGGACTCTAAGGACGGCAGCATGAGTCTACGAACCCGCCCCGGAGAATAAAACCGAGCCCAGTCTGCCGACCGCGATTCTAAATCTGGCTCCCGAGTCTGGACGACTGACGGGTCGTTGCGATTCGCACGATACTCATGGACCGTTCCTCGAATTCGCTGCCTGGCATGTCGAGAGCAAGGACCGCCTCGCCTCGCAATACCCATGATTTACATGCAAAAAAGTGTTTCCAAAGGTTGCAGCGAGGTCAACGAAGCGGCACTGAAAGAGTTGATTTTCGAATTGTATTTTCTCACTCCGGTTTAAACCCTTTAAAATGTAAAACGCTCCACTTGAGAATAGTATTTTCTCTTGATGAAAGGGGCTGAGCTTACAGAGTAGGACTGCGCCTGAGATGAAGATATATGATACGTCATTGAAATTGCATCGTGAACAGGAAGTAAACGAGTATTTTATTTTGGATTTTCCTAATGTTCCCCGAAGAATTATTGTTGCTTCATTGATCGAGTGATATCACGGACGTAGTGGACATATTCAACGTCACACGGGTCAAAGATGACATCAATGGTAAAGTTCTCTGCGTAGGTGACGTCAAAATACGAATGCTATTGGATCAGTATATGATAAAATATAATACACCATAGATCGCAGATCATAAAGAAGGCGAAGACAAGTATTTAATCCATCTTAAATTGTCATAATTATACATTAAAACAGACTGAGGTAATCTAATTTGTCATTTTCTAGATGAGAGAACGCAACCACCATTGTTCAATATTGTAAAATTTCACCCTCACACATATTATGTTGGAAATATCGATTGTTCCTCTTCTATTTACGCAAAAATATTGGCAAAATTTTGTAGCAAAATTGCACGCGCAGATTTCTCGTGAAAAATATAACTCTATAAGTCGCTTTTGCAAAATCGGAACGGAGTTACGTTTCTTCATGAAGGAGACGACAAATAATACAAGATTAAAGAAAGAAAGAGAAAAAAATTAAAATAAATAAATTAATAAAAGTATCAATTCCGTAAGTGTGAACGCAAAAACCACAGTTGCAAAGGTATATTTCTCGACTTATCCATGAATCTGCAGGATACAGTGAGGTTTACTGGTTCTTCCTGACCTTGGATACACCTCCCAACCCGCACTGGAAAAAAAACACATTGGTTCTAGAGTCCAGACTCTTACAAACATCGACAAGAAAAAATACTCTTGATTCAATCGGATTTTTGCTTAAATCAAAAGGAAATCCGCTCAAATTAAGAGGTGTGGTTCTTGATTTAAGCGAAAATCCGATTGAATCAAGAGTATTTGTTCTTGTCGATGGTTTAATAGTCTCG